TGTTCAAGTATGCTGTGAATCGCTCTCTCGGGAGCAGTCGGAAACCACGTGACTTTCGAACATGTACACGGGCTTTATTTGCTCTCTGCCAATACGCTACTAGCTTTGAATAAACTAATCTTTGTATCGTTCAGCTACGATTTAAATGTCGATTGCGGCTTTGTAAAACGTGCTTTTCAAGTCATTCGAATCATTTTACCTCAAAATAAACTCCTAACATAATACTGAAGTTGAGGAAAACATCCTGAACGGATCCCTTCTATAAAAACGCAGTGTGTTTACTCCTGTTAGTGCTTGGAATTTTTTCGCTGATGGCGTATACAATCATTCAGTGAGATTCAGACTCGTGGTATTCTTTCGATATGCAATATGGAGACGGATCCTTGTCACAGAATGTCATCCATCTTTTTTGGACCCAGGACGTTTGTCGTTCTGGAATCATTTACCGCCTGACAATGCGAAGAAAATAGATTTGAATAAAACCAGTAACACAATATGAGCAGAATTGATATTGATCATCAATTTCGCGTGCTCTTAATCAGCTGTGCACGCAGATTAAATCGGTCGAATGTTATGAGAAGAATACCATATGTGGACATTTACATAATTACATGGTTTCAGCAGAAAGAACTAGGTTGTTGAGTCATTTGGGTATGGGTGAACGAGAAGAAGGGAATAACTATTACAAAGATGCAGTAAAAGGGGAATGTTAGCATAGAAACAGTAACGTAATAGAAAACAATTAACCGTGGATGAAAGAGAATTAAGCATGGTTACGTAATACGATAAGATACAACCAGAAATGAATTCTAACAGACGGAGAAAGGTAACGGAGTAGAAAATTGGTAAATTAAGTAGGTCAAAAAGAGTTGCGTAATGAGGAATTGAGGGAAGTGTCAACGATGATGTAAGGGAACTGCTGAAATGATGGAAAGTAAAGGGAAGGGGAATTACTATGGCAATAACAACTGCATCACAAAGGCCTTTTGCTCGCGTAGGTCGGGCTTTAAACGGTTAATGACAACCGCTTCGGCAAACTTAAGCATCTTTGGGCTTCGAATTTTGAGTATAACGCGGAAAGCTCTGCGTTTGTCAATGCCGTGTCCTGTATCCAGCGTTTGATGGAAGTTTTCCTCCTCGAAGTGATAAGTTATTCGGAACATGCTCACTCATTCTGGTCGACAGCCGGCGTTCAGTCCTTCCGACGTACCGCGAACCGCAAGTACACTGAAAAAGATAAATGCAATTGGAGGTGACCGANTATCGCAAAGGCCTTTTGAACGCATAGGCTAACGACAACCGCTTCAGCAAACCCAAGCATCCTAGGGTTTCGAACTTTGAGCATAACGCGGAAAGATTTGCATTTGTCAATGCGGTGTCCGGTATCCAGCAGATGTCGTGCCACTGCGCTTGCAGGAAGTTTTCCTCATTGAAGTGATAAGTTATTCAGAACACACTCACTCATTTTGGTCGACAGCCGGCGTTCAGTCCTTCCGACGTACCGCGAACCGCAAGTACACTGAAAAAGATAAATGCAATTGGAGGTGACCGAATCATTGAATCTGTCTATGTTTGATCGAATTAGTGAGTTCATTGTCCCGTCAATCATGATCATCGCTCATCCGGCTGCCCTACCAGATTCGTGCAACGCCGCGTAGACAGCGGTGTTCAAACACCGACAGTTTATCTTCATCCTGTTTTCTTAATGACCAGGTTTCTGCGCCGTATAACAGAGCTGGCCGAACCGCCGCGGCAAACACTCGACCCTTCACGGACAAGTATTCGGTTAAGGTTTAATGACGAGATGTTATGCTCATACCTTTCGGGATTACCTGAGATTCCATTCGACCGCGACCCATTGATTGTGTATCTCAATCGATTTGATTCGGGCTGACATGAATAGTGCTATATGGGTGTTTCATAAAGTCTACTACTTTCCACCAAAATCATTGATTGCCCTTCCGAATCCGTAAGCTGGTGTATAATAATTTGATAAGAGTAAAGCAGCCTGACAATTTCGATTCTCGTGTTTTCCTCTTATCCGAATCACACTTCAGATTCTAGGCCCCCACCGTTGTTGTCCATCCCAAAGTCACGAGGATCGTATTGTTGTCTCATAGGATTTACCATTCTAAGTCACAGGATTCAGGTCGCCTATTGCCATGACAAAAGAGTCGATTTTATTGAACTGAGGGTTGATATTTCATACTTTCCATTTTGCAGATTTGTGTAATATAGTTCATTCATCAATAAGAGCGCTAAATAATGTTATTCACCCTCGAATTATCTGTACGAAAGCAATGATTAACAGTAGCTCATATGGGCAACTGAACCGCTGGCCTACGAATCCCGGCGTTTTTTTGTTATGCCTCTTCTTGAGATGTTAGAAATCAGAGTTTCCCAGTCTCCTTTTGGTAAGTTGGTGAGCTACTCGTAATTCAATACAGCTAAGACGCCGAGTGTCGGCTTCTCATCCTTAATTTCGTGAAACTATCCAAACTATGACAAGGCATTTGGCAGGCCTTGCCCTGAACATGCCCCAAGCGACATCTATTATGCGAGTTTTCTTTGGCAAGAACGAGAGTCCGCTCTCNGGGGGGGGGGGGCGAGCTGGGGCTTTCTGACTGCTTTATAACATATGACAAGTGATCATTCTTTGTATCGTCCATACAACGGCTTAAATTCATTCTAAACCTTCAAGTGTCAATAAATTGTTTTTTATGTGTTTTTATATTATTTTCCGCCGTGAAATTTGCTGAATCTCCATTTTTATTTTTCCGGTTATCTCTAACACAACGTTTAATGTCGGAGTAGTTATACCAAATAGTTTCCCACTCCTTCCTGTTCTGTCTGTCTTGATTCACACACACAGACGCTTTTCATTCTTTCACGTAACAATCTATCAAGCTCAACTTGTAGTGTATTGTGCATCACAGTTTTCCGTAATCTTACCGTTGCAACACCCTTCGTGTCCCTCGTTTCACTCTGCAGGTTGCTCTCCGGCTCGCAGATTGACCGGTTCGCGTGACTCCAACCGAATCAGTTCAACTGCCCAGTCTTTGTCGAGTTACATGGGTGCCGAGCAAACCGGTCCCACAGACTCCGTGAGTCCCTCCGGAGATGCTGACGGCACGTCCGTATCCACATCCCGCACAGACCCTGGCTTGTTCGCACGTCTGGACATGAACGAGCTAGGTCGTACTCCTCCTCCAGTTCCGCCACATTGTGCATCCACTTGTCTTACCTCAGGCGATTCGGGGTCTGTAGCACCGGTAAGGAAACCGCATCTGTTTCGATGCAGCTGCGTTGTCCTCCACTTGTCTTCCGTGCTCTTATTTCACAACTGTCTCCCGTTGAACGTTTGATCATATATTGATGGTTATTACTGTAAGTGTTCCTGACCGATCATCCCAAGAAAGTTTCTGTTTTTGTTCAATCACACTATACCGGAAGTGAAAATGAATGATACCGCACATCTTTCGAAGCTGCAAATAAAGGAACCGCAACAAATAAAAACGATACCAGGATCACAAATGCCGAAGTAGATTACCTGTTGAATAATGTTGAACTAATGACTCTGATAGTAGTCAATGAATAACTGGACATAATTTCATCGCTTACGGTAAAGGCAAAAGGTGTGATCCAGGTTAGCAGTTGGATCTCACCCGAGAGCCACATCGATATAATTGATCCAGGTATACTATCCTTCGCCCCTCCCGCTTTTGCTTCTTTTTTAATCTCATTTCCTCAATTGCCAACATGCCGTTGCCGATGTGCCCATCCGCTGTGACTTGTTCCTCTTCATGTTTCACCAACACCAGCAATAACTATGACCACTCCTTCCTTATTATATTCCTTATTTCCACTCAGGACAATCGTAACTGCATTCCCAATAATACCGATACTACCCTTTCTCTTATAGAGATATCCGTTAAATATGAATTAAACACCCTGCGTTCCACAGATTGATTCATCTTATTGGGTCTATCTTTATCTTCATTGCTTTTATGGCTACCCTGCTTTTGTATACTTGCCTGTCGTACTACGCTCAAGTGTGGTTCCCTTTTCCTCGCTCGTTGCATCTAAGAGCCTCTTTGCACTTTCCGCAGCTCAAATCCGTCGAGCATTTGAGTAGTGCCATGATGTGTGGCTTCATCTACTTTTCTGTCTCTTAAGTTTCTCTGGTTCAGTCGTAAATGGCTTGAGCAATATCGACCTTAATGTCGAAGTTCAAATTGATTCATTGATTCAGTCTACTAATTGAAACATTCAATCTCTTTTGTCATCCTTACAAGCTTACCTCTTAGCGACAGTAACAGACCATTCGTATCAGCGAAAGTGGAATGCGCATAAAAATAGTGCCCGTTTTCTCGGTTTCATGGACTTGTTATCCAATCTGTCTTTTTTGAATCAGTTTATAGTTCCGATCAGCATGTCGTATCTATTGATGAGAGCACTAGATAGCAAATTCACTGATTGCATACTGACCCGAAGCGGTCCGCACGAACAGCGTTGCCGAAATTACCAAGGTCAATTTGAAAGGATCACAACGCTTCGAATAGGCCGCTGAATTTTCCTCTGCTAATAACCCACTGGTGTGGTACTTCTTTGGTCCACAACAAGCTCGCGAAGATGGATTATGCAATATCGTGTAAATGGGAAATGAAAAACGGTCGGACCAGCTGTCCGGTGGCCGAGTGGGTAGCATGCTGGCGTGCTACCCATGAGATCCCGGGTTCGATCTCCAGTTGTGTCGATGGACTCGCACTGCTGATGAGACCCAGCCAGATCGAAACAGCCGTCCACTGCTTCCTAGCTTTTCAGTTCACGTTTCATTTATTATATACACGACTAATTCACCTTTAAAATCCAATCAGATAGTTGGTTTTGCGTTCAAACGTAGGGCTGGTGTGTGTGTGTGTGCGTGTGTGTGTGTGTGTGTGTGTGGAGGGGTATTGTTGCACAACTCCGCAATTCTTGACTGAAAGGTGTTTTAAAGTTGGACTGCGATGCGGTTGATTAGGGTGGTGCTAACTAAGACTAAATCACTGGTACCATGTGCAGGGGAGCGACGAGTAAGAACAAGTGAAATTAGCACTGGACAGGCACTCAAAAGAAGGAAAATAGTGGCGGTAAAACGGGAATAATAAAGGACCGAAAGTTACAGAGTAGGAATGGATTGCTGAAGAGACAGAGGAAGCGTACGGACCGCACTCACATCTTTTTGGTTGTGGCTCAATTAGGCATCGAGGTGTATTGGGCACCTTGGACGTTTGACCCCGTCTGAATGGCATATGATCCGATGAACTGGACACCGTCTCCCAATGGATTGCGGTTTCCCCACACCGCCCCGCTGCCTTGCGAATCAGGCTTTGGCTAGCCGAAGGCTCCGGTTGTGGATTCCTCAAGAAAATCCACCTACCTTTGCCTGGGCAGTCTGGCAGTATTCCGCTCACATGCGAATCGTAGAACCTTTTTCCTTTTATAAAGATTATTGTACAGCGATTTGTTGGCCACACAGTCCAACCTTGCCTGAAATGCATCAACGGAACTCACCGACTTGACTCGGCTCTCTCGATCGTTTGCTATTCATCAGTGTACCACCAAGTAGTGCCTAATAAATTCAGGTGTTTACTTTCAATGTTAAGCTACTACCCTTATTTTTATTTTGGTTGAAAATCATACCAACGATGGATCCACATTTGTCTTGTCTCCCGAACCCCTGCTTTTTGTATTGTACTCTTGTGTTGACAAAATATTGAAAATTGGTTCTCGTAGCTCGGATGAACTGTATTCCATTACGCCTGTTCCCCGAGCGCGGCAATTTGTTTGCAAACGTTTCATCACCAGCCGAGGTGACTTCACAAGCGATGATGATGTCACCTAGGTTGGTGATGAGGCTTTTGCAAACGAATTGCCAAGCTCGGCGAACAGGCACAATGGTACTCTTTTGTAGTGAACAGCAGACGGGGTGAACCCCATAGTCACCTGAACCAGATTTTCAGTCATGGAAACAGGTATCCTAAGTCTCGGGATTTTCAGTAGCATCGAATCTGAAGACAGCGAAAATGAATCCCGCTTTGCTGCCTGTTTCTTGGCCATAACCGTTTACACAGTCTAATCAGCTGCGAATCAGGGCAGGCAGTTCACTTTCGCGGACACTCTTGAACACTGGTTTGGCCATTTTTTGAAGCCGTGCTGATATCCCCACCGGAGTATTGCTTTTGGTTCAGCTTCGTTTGAAAGTGTCAACAGGCACTATGGCGAAACAGTATCTTTCCTCTTTTATTATTATCTCATGGACAATTGTCAGGGAAATACAGATTGACTGAACGCACTTTCGTTTATTTGTTGTAACAAACCGTGAATTTCTCTTTGTTCAGAATCGTGTTTCATTTCGCTTTTACAAGACGACTAATTAATGCGAGTTTTCGTGCTCTAAAAACCACTGATTTATGCTTAATATCCTACTAACGACCATATTTCTCAATAAATTCAGAATGCAAATGGTGTTGGACAAACTCCGGGGACTTCGGGTGCGCAGTCTACAGACTCCTTACCTCCATCGGTTCCAGCGGCTTCAGTAGATCCGAACAATCTTAGCTTATCCACTGAGTGCAGTTCCGGTTTCCAGGATCACGAACGTATCACTAATATGGAGGGTTTGTTGGGTCCGGCAATTTCCGAGGATTTCATCGATTGCGGATCATTTGGAAGCTATTCGAACATCTATTACGGAAGTATCGCTTCCGGGCCTCTGGGTGGTAGCATTGCGAAAGAGACCTGTCCTGCTCCGGACGATTTGGCACCCTCGTTTATCGAGGAGGAACCGTATGGGGTGGAAGAGTTGGATTTCCTGTCCGATCACGCCACACAGCTGGCATTACGTGAGGTCGGGTCTGGAAAATTTCACACTGTGGGACGAACAGCGCGATTGCATGCGGACAAGAATTCGGTAGGTCGTGATTAGAGATTTTTCTTTTCCCCGCTTTGAGTTGTTTGCTGGATAACATTGTTTCCCATGCGGTTCTTTATGCCAGATTCTGAATTTAAACCCATCGTTCCTCTCCCTCTTTCCATATGTGAATGCTTTTGTAATGTTGCGTGCACTGTACTTAGGAATCCTAGTGCTTTAACATAATGTGCCACCTAAAAGTCCAGTACACCCATATCAACCCTATCTGGGTATGAAAAATGTCTGTTATTACTGATTGTTCGTTGTCTACAAATTAATAAACTTTACACGCATCTGTCATCAACATGGCATGAAATTTCAGTTGTATCGCGATAGCAGAATTTTTCGATGTCTGTGTTCCTCCCAAGTACTTCTGCAAATTTAACTGCTAGCTGCCGGCTAATAGGCTGTCCCGGGATTGTTTTCCGAACGCTCAACTCCATTTAGTCATGTGCGGGAGAAAATGGGATACCGTTAATTGGAAAAGTGCTAGATTCACACTGGATATCAGTCGATTCACGTGACTTTCATCTCTGTTAGTTGATCTTCCTCGTGACAGTAACTTTAACCCAATCAGCTGTTCGATAAACTGTTTGGACTAAGTTGAAATGAGCTGAGACCCAGGATGATTCTCAATGAGGCAGAAACCCGTAAAATCATGTGATGGTAGACTCTTTTAAGTGATAATCCGAGAATGTCGAGAACGAACGGGAATAAAAATACCCACAAATGCTGAAGGTTCTCGCTTGCGTTCTGCCTGTGAGGTTCCGGGTTGGATCTCCAGTTGTGTCGATGGATTCGCACCGCTGATGAAATCCAACCATGTCGAAACAGCTGTCCACTGCTTCCCAGCCTTTCAGTTCATGCTTCATTTGCTACATACATCACGAATTCACCTTTTAAATAATAATAATAATTTTAATTCCGTTTATCTCATGCACGACAGACGTATAGCCTGCACCATTATAATGATATGGGGGAATTAAAAAGCGGTAGTTGTGCTCCTCCTGATGAACCAGCGGTATCTGTGATCCTTACCGTTCTGAACTGACCAAAATTTGCAGTTTCATTTTCCACACGTTTTTCGAGACCGGTTAACCCACTGCCCGCTGATTGAACCTCTAAAACAAAAACAAGTGTCCGTCTTGTGTACACCCGCTTTGACTGATCGAATCCTATATTTTTGTACCATATTTTCCACTTGACCTGGTCAAAAGATCAATTTGTTATCATTTCATAAGATGTCTATGTCCTCACCAGTTTAACTTCTGTCATTTTTCACTGTTTGCGTCTCGCTTTGTATCTCATTCTGTTTGTTCGGTATCATTTTGCGTATCTGCTGATCATCCGCCCATTCATTCATCTCGCAATCAGCAGGTAAAATCAGAGGGAATAATCGCCTTCGATTTCAGATATCGGTACTGTGTGAAGCTGATGGATGTTGCATCAGACAAACTCAGGTTGGTGTTCGATCGATCGATCGATCGATCGACCGGTTTTTCTAATCAAAGATGCATTTAAGCCTGGCTAAACAACTTCCCGTATCTGGTAATGATATCCCTGTCTATCTTAGCCCCGATAATGGGTGTGTAGTCCTGATCTCAACACCAGATTTAATTGCTTAATCTGTGCTGGATCCACGGAATAACAAGACTAAAGTTGATAAAATGCACTATGTAGAATGTGTTACAGAACAGGGGAAAAATAATTCAGTACCACAGAACTTTACTTGAAGAGAGAAACGGACAGACAGTTGATTTCCTGGGCAATGCCTTTCTCTCGTACAAGATCGTAGGCGGCAGTCTTGGACTGTTTCGGACAAATGAACGAGTGTTGATGAGAATGGATGCCAAGTGTCATTCCATGTATTTGTCATCACGGTGGCCAACACATCTGTACAAGACAACACAAAAGGAATATACTGTTTTATCCACTATATTTCACATGCGTCTGAATTCAGGCTGGGGCAAAAAAATCAGGGTACAACAACCTTTATGAGAAAGAATAACGTATTCGAATTGCTAGTAGACGAGATAATGTCAGGTTGGCCAAGCCAAGGCAGATGAAATTTCATGGGAGATCAAAAACCGGAGTCTTTGAGAAAAACAGTAAAGCGTTATGTACACACCGCCCTGCTTCCTTGCGGCGTATACGGTTACTTAAGTTGGTAATACGCAAATCACATTTGCATAACGTTTGATGCGTATGAGGATGTGATTGGTAGGTATGATTAATTCATTGCGTGCAGTTTACAAACAGAATGAGTGTTGGGTGGATGGGGAAAGGGTTGATGCAAACTAGGGGTCAATGCAATCCCGATGATTGGACAGGCTTCCTTCACAGCCGTTGGATCAGGTAGTAGATCTCGTTCGGGATGCGACCGCTGGTGCACGCCTCAGCTTCTGGGAGCCACAGATGAGTGTTGGCAGCGTGACAGAAACAAAACAGGAGGAGGATACTCTGACGGCTACAAGACAGTTTACCCACTCACAGGTGCTACTCCTATGATATACTCCATACATCCCTTAGATCCACTATCCTTCGAATCAGTACATTGATATAAGTTGTTTAATATCACATATCGAGGGAGTCCGCTTGAAAATCTTATATTTTTCGATGTTGTATTGGAACATACTGTTCGTTCTCGGCGTTCACCGGCTTGGCTCGACAGACAACCGAGGACGGTTTCCTTATTTGTGCTCACTGGAAACTGGGACATCAGCGAGCGATATCACGGTATCTGTTTTATACCGAAGTGTGGAAGCATGCCAGCTGGAGATGCCTTGTCGGAAGAATTCATGTACGCCGGTTATATGGTTGATGGTGCAACACAGTGCGCTACTCAAGATTGGTTGTTTCGTCACATTTTTTTGTTTCCAGAGGGGGCGTCGTCTTTGAAATGGTGAACTTGTCACTCGAAATAGATGTGCTACTGAGGCTGCTTACTCCCCGTTTCTGAACATCCATCTTATGTTCAAAATGAGTAAGTGATTCCTACAGGATTACCACGCCATATTGCTCTCGGGTTATGCAGGGTTATCACCTGCTCCCGAAACGGGTCGGTCTAATTTGGCCTAGCTGCTTACCACACATCACCCCGATCGAACATTTTTGACTTCATGCGGAGAAGAATGTTCC